TTAATGATTTTTATATTAAATTAAAGTGCAAACTTTTGTCTACACGTAGAGTATCTTTTCGAGTTATAAATCAATTTGCAAAGCTTCAAAAAATGGCAAAGAAAATTTGGCGGACTAGGCATTGTTCACATTGCCTAAAGCCAGGCATTGTTAACATTGCCGGGGGAGGTTTGGAACCTAGGCCGGTAATGTTAACAATGCCTGGCTTTAGGCAATGTGAACAATGCCTAGTCCGCCAAATTTTCTTTGCCATTTTTTGAACCTTTGCAAATTGATTTATAACTCAAATGAGTATTCAACTTATAGATAAAAGAATGTACTTTAATTTAATATAAGTTTCATTAAAATCTATTTACTCTAAGTATAAAAAATATTTGCTGAAACTTTTCAAAGAAATGCCAAAGTAGGAAAAATTTGCAGCATCGCATTCTCTGCCATTTTATGAACCTTTTCAGATTGATTTATTACTCGATATGGTATTCTACGCGTAGATAAAAGAATGTACTTTAATTTAATATAAGTTTCATTAAAATCTATTCACTCTAAATATAAAAAATAGTTGCCGAAAGTTTTCAAAGAAATTGCAAAGATGCACAATTTACAGCATCGCAATCTCTGACATTTTCTAAACTTTATATGCTAAATTTATAACTCGAAATGGTATTCTACGCGTAGACAAAAGAGTGTACTTTAATTTAATATAAGTTTCATTAAAATCTATTTACTTTTAGTATAAAAAATATTTACCAAAACTTTTCAAAGAAATTGCAAAGATGCACAATTTACAGCATTGCAATCTCTAATCTTTGCATTCATAGTAATGCCGAAGAATTACTAGCAATGACTGATTTCCGGCTTTGACGGTAACATATATATATATATATATATATTTTCGTACGTGTATTATTTCTATAATTATACGTCGAAGCAATTCGTATCGATAAAATGACGAAACGATGGTTTTCATCGTCGTTGTAGTTGTCTCTCTCGTCGGTGAATAAAAAGATTGAGAAATATAGTCAGAGACGTATTAAACCAGCATGAGTCAGATTGGTTATTGGTCAGATATGTTTTTTTGGCTAGGTTTGACTCTTGATTTCATAGGAGAAACGAGATTTTTCGTCGTTGTACATACGGATCGTGCCGAGGTCGACTCTTTGCGGCGAATTGGAGTGGCACGAGATAAATACCAAATATATACATACATACATACATACACACATTCATAAATACATACATATATATATGCATACATATCTACATATATGCATACATACCTACATATATACATACATATATGAATGCATGTGTATGCATGCATGTATATACATACGTACGTTTTCCTTGTAGTAGTGTGATGGTCGTTGTTTGTAGTTTGAACATAACAGGGACGACATAGTTGTGTAGTTGTGTTGTTGTTCGTGTTAGTCGTGTGAATGTATTGATAACTCTCTCTCTGTAATGTTGAGAGTGTAAGTTGGTACATGGTGCATGTACAAGTGCATCGTGTCGAGAGAGAGATCGATCGTGCTCTCGGAAGCTTGCAAGCTTTCCTCTCTTTTCGGCTTTTTTTTCTCTCTCTCTCTTTCTATCTTTCCAAGTTTTTGTTTCTTTTTCTTTTTTGTTTGTTTGTTTGTTTTTTCGTTACCTTTCTTTTTCACCCATTCTTTTTGTCTTTTTGTTTTTCTTTTCTCCCTCTACGAGTTAAAAGTTATTGTCCGATGACAATCTTTCGATTAGCCTATTGAAAATGTTTTTCTTTTTTTTTTTCTTTTTTCTTTCTCTTTCGTGCGAATAATTAGCATAAAGAGTTTGAATACTTTATTATTTTATTTAAAAACAAGATATTATTTTGTTTTTGTAAGATAATTATAAATAAATGAATAAAACATTAGATTCTTATTTTGATGAAATTTTCCTTATTTTTTTCTTTTACATTTATTATAATATGTCATAATAATAATAATAATAACTATAGAACATCGTTTTTTATTGTTTTATAATTTCATCATCATCATCATCATCATCATTATTATCATTCGTGTCTAGATACAATGATTAAAAAACGTATTCTTTTGTAATGATTCTCTTATGAATAATTTTACAATTCTAATGTTCGTTGTCAGATAGATTTTCATTTAAAGGCGTGAAATAGGAAGCTTTGCAAACACTTTAGTTATACCACATTTACAAACTTCCTCTTTTTGGTTTATGATCAAAGACCAATCGATAGCTTGGAAAGACATAGTTTTCAAGATTCAACCGACAAAACGAGACACCGATTCTTCCTACGATAAGGTCGTAGGGTAAGAGTTTTCAATGCAAATGGAATTTCATAACTAGGACAGTTCGTGCGATCGTTTTCCACCATTCCCACCCCAACCCCCAATCCCCTAACCACCTCCTCGTCTTTCTCTTGATATTTTTTCTCTTTTGCTCATTTAACAAGAATTATTAATTGTTAGTTCAAATGTTTTTTGATCCGTGAGAAAAAGATTCCCCTTCATTAGAACAATATATATATTCTTTATTAAATAAAAAGAATAATCCGAACAATTTCTGTAAATTGTTTTCAACTTT